AGTTGTTGCTACATGAATATTTTTAAAAAGTTAAACACGTTTGCAAGATCCGGTTTATACTCTAGTGGACGATAAAGGTCATGGAGTCTCCATCTTTTTAACTTATTGGCATGGTTCTGAGAAAAAAGCGCATGATAGTGCCTTGATATTTTGGAGCTAGTCTTCTTGGAGGTGTTCCTTTTTGAGATTCAACATTTAAGAACAAAGCACATTAATATCCGCCATCACTTCATAAGAAATCATCAAGCTAAAAGGGATATCACAATTGAGAGTGTGGACACCGAAGATCAACTTACCAGTATATTCACCATGCTACTTGATGAAGCACGGTTTTGCAAGCTTAGGAGTGAATTGAACATCCTTGACTTCTCCAACATGAGTTGGATGCACCCCATATATATGACATGCCTCTCCTCCAACAAAGCAAAGGTGAAATTGCTTGTTCATGTGCATTCATACCTTACTAACATGATATAGTGCATATAGACATGATTTAGTAGTAACTAAGCCATTCATTGAAAATCAAATGAATTTGAAGTGCATATGGTACCACTACTGCTTCTATGATTGTTTGATCTAGTGTTAATCTAATTCACGCTCAACAAGGTGGAACCGACAACCTCACATTAATATACACATGAGCTACTATGGGCTAAATCCAAATCGGGCCAGATATCACTACGTTATTTAATGGATTGGACAATGGACAGCTCCGATCCCAACTCTTGGCTCCACAGGCGTCGTCTTCCCAATGGCGTAGCTAGGGGTGGTCTGTGTGGGCCACAGACCATCCTAGATTTTTGGGCAAGGTATTATAGTTATTTATGTAGTAAGGTTTTTTGAATAAACTTTACAGTTTGTTATTTACGTAGTAAGGTTTTTTGAATAAACTTTACAGTTTGTTACTCATTTTAAAAATGTTTGTAAGAATGTATTTGTCTTATGTTTCAGTAAATTGTATATTTGTACGATGGCATGTGATATTTAGACCATGTTTGGTGGAGCTCCATTGACTCCAGCTCCTTCATGCACTACAACAAGAAGCCGTCCTAAAATGAATCAAGATCCAGTGAAACCTCATCGGCTCTGAGCACTGTAATAAGGAGCGAAAGGCGTTTGTAGACGTACCAAACTAGACTTTCTACTGACAAAAAAAAATATGTTAAATTGGACTATCTTATTTTAAAATCGTAGCTACGCCACTGGTCTTGCCTAGATATAGGAGTTGCACCGTGCGATTGCGGCGGGCGGGCGAGATGGGGGCGATTTCTGCGGGCGCGATCTTGATCGTAGGCGGCATCTGCATCTCCATGCGTGACAGTTAGTCGCGTGTTGCTTGCCCGCGTCGCAAAATAGCAGGCACGAGATGCGGAGACGGTCAGATATATGTGGATTCATGAATCATCTTCGTTCCACATAGCACATACCAGGGTCCCATAAGCCACACCGTCTAGAAAAAATAAGAACGTCAAGCGGACACGGGAGACGACGCCTCAGTTTCGGGGACTAGTGCGGTGGTCTGGTTGTTCGCCTGATGAACCAGTGCAGGATATAGTCTGCCAGTTCTCCACTCCTCCTCCGTGTATGAACACGATGGGTACAAACACACACCTACACCACACACACCTCACTCACACCATTTGTACACAACCTTACCTACAACTATACATGTCCTTTTGTGACTCTACGCATCGAGAGGCTGCACTGAAATATTATTATGGCGTCGTAGTCCTTTTGTGGCTCCACACGTTGAGAGATTGCACTGAAATATTATTATGGGAATAAATCCCGGTGAGAACATCAGCGCCAAACCTAGGATTCGAACGCTGGCAGGAGCATGCACACCGGCGACCCTTGCCAACCGAGCAAGAGCTCGTTCTCTCATCTCTTCGTGGATGTTGCAAAGCTTGAAACAGGATCGTTTGTCCATCCTTTCTTTTTGGAGGTTATTCGCCATAATAATTTTTTGGTGCAGCAGTGTCCAGGCAGAAAAAAAATGACACTTGGGCTCTGTTTTGGATCTCCAAATCGGGCACAAGAGCTTCTGGCAGCAGCTAGTGAACTGAATCCGATAGGCACTTTTGGTGACATAGTTGTTATCTACTGTCCGTACCTCGCATAGTCACAGAAAACAAGATTGAAAACATCAACGATTGACCTCTGGGAACATTGACCCCGACCCGGGTACACAGGGTCATTTTTAACCCCCACCATATAAAAACCTCTCACAAGTAGCGTACCATGTTCCTCGATCTCATTTTTTCGACCACATCGATCCAGAAACTTTGTGACTATAGTCCATCGCCATCTGATTTCATCTTCTTGCTTCGTATTTTTGGATATTTACTTGATCGCATTCCAGAATGTCATGAATTGATGCCTCTCCTCTATATAATTAATCGAAGTGACATGATCGAGCCACTTGTTATTGTTCAACGACTTGTGAACTAAAATGTTCTTTCTGGTGCACTTTGCAAATAGAATTACTGCAATGTTTCTCGGGGTTGAACCACCAACCCAAGAGCAAGCCTAGAATGGTGCCAAATCCCCTTTACCCATTGTCACAGCTTTTGAAGCGTAAAGTAAATCCTTGTCCACTTTATCACAAGGTACATCCAATTTTGCCCAGGCTCTCTCTCTACTTCTCCATTTTTGCCACAACCATCGTAATTGCATTGCCTTAGAAAACTCTCAAGGTCTTTAATTCCTAAGCCACTTTTATCTTTGAGCAGAGTTGCAACTTTCAATTTGATCTGGCGGTGACCGCCACTTTCCAAAGGAAACTTTGTCTAAAGCGGTTGATCTTTTGAAACAACCATGCCTTTACCAGGTAAACTGTAAGGTGGTAAATAGGTTGAGATGCTAGCAGTTTTCCTTTCCAACCCGGCAACCTATTTGCTAGTCTTGTCAATGAGGGGTTGTACATGCACTTTCCTTAGAGTTCTTATGTGCAACGGGGAGGCCTAAGTATTTTCTGTAGAAGGATGGCACTTCGCTTGGGTTTGGCAGGTTATGTTCAAAATGGATGTGTTCACATTGAATTGGGGAAAACTTAGTTTGTTACAATGTTAATAGTTAGTACCGAGCAACGCTTCATGTCACGAGAAGGGTACAGAGGGGGTCTAAAAACCTCAAGGAGGTGTGGTAATTCGGTGATCTATATTTCTTTGAGATTTTGTAGTGGTTTCATGGGGTTTTTGTAGTCTCTGAAACTTCTAGATATTTCTTCGGAACTTCTGGACATCTTCAAAAGTTCCGGACTAATTTTTGGAATTTTTGGACTTGGCTAGTCCTCCGCTTTAAGTGCGAAACAATTTTTAGCCTAAGGATTTCTATAGGCTTTGTTGATCCTTTCAACAAACTATGGCACCACTACAAATGGTGGTGGGGCTTGTGTGCAACAGGTGAAAAGGTGGCGCTGTGTGTGCTTGGTGCGCAGCGATAGGAAATCCATTGATGGATTTGTCAAAATTGTCTTGGGGAGGGTGGTGGCCAAGCCATGACTCGAGGAGTGGGTGTCTGTGGTGGTAGAAGGTGATCAACATCAGGGTGTAGGTGTTGTATCCACGAAGTTGGTAGCTTGACCTAGTGAGTATATCATGGTTGGATGCACACTTGTCAAATAAAGGAATATGTAGATCAAAGAAGCCACTGAAAACCATTGAGAATGGTAAGATCGAAGATTGGACTTAAGAAGATTTGATTAGAGTAGGCTAGAGAAATATGCATAGACAGGAAAGCATGGTTCCTGAAAAAATATACATATTTGAGTATTAAAAGATGCACTTGTACAGTGATCCAATTGGGTGCTTTGAAGTTGACTAACCGTTGTATCACAAAATGTTCGTTCTAGAGTAGAGAAAATTCAGTTGATCAGATGATCTGGTGGCTTTAAAAATGAACCGACTAGAGTATCTCTTGGAGGTTCCAATAGAGAGGTAGTTTTTCTAGTCCATGTCAAACTGTACCAAGTGGATGATCTGGTACTTTGAAAATAGTATTAGAATTAAGTATTGTGCAATGGAAATCAGGCTAATGATTGCTTTTTGGAACATGAAGGATTAAACTGATGGAATGATCTAGAGTTTGTTACTTTTTCATGGCAGATGTTAGCAACGAGTTTTGGACTTCTATTCAATATATACCCATCCATTGGGATCATTGTGGGAGGGGGTCTCCTAGACATGAGGGAGTTACATTCACATATTTGAAGTTGAGAGATAAGTTAGTTTTGTGCAAAAGTAGCAAGTGTGCATCTATCTATCTTTAGTATTTATTTGGGTCAAGTGGAAGCTCTTGGCTTGTTACTATTGGTGGTTGGCAACTCCTAGCTAGTCTTGGTGATTGGAGGAGTGCTTGTGGAGCTCTTGGAATTGTGGGGGCCTTTACGATGGAAAATTGTACATAGAGTAAAGGAGACTAAGATGGAGCATTCTTAGTGAGCAATTGTGTCGATGTGGCTCAAGGAGGAATAGAACTATTTTTTGGGTGATCCAACGAGGGATAGGGGTCAGTGGCATCTCTCGATACCTTAGGAAAAATATGGTGTCTTCTGGCCCTCTCTTTACTTTCCTGCATTTACTTTCAAGTCTTGCTTTATGCTTTATTGCTCTTACTTAGTGCTTGTGCTTGTTAAATAGCCCTTCATGATTGTGCTTTGTTTCTTCAACTAGTATGTTAGGCTTAGAAGTTGGGGTGAAGTAGAACTAACTCTAGGTCGACCAATTAGAATCTTTGTGGGTAAGACCCATCCTATATTTTCACTAAGTAATATATTTTCCATCAGACTTCCACTCATTAACTCAATATGAGTAGTTTCAAATATCCATTTTTTGTCACCATATAGAAATTAGGTACAAAATATAGAAAAAGAAGCTACAAGAAATGGTTTACCTCCCTACAAACAATCATGTGTCTCCCTTATACATTATGCATCTCCTCTAAAAGTGTGTGCCTTTAGATAATGACTATTATATTTAGATATTTAAAATTGAATTGGCTTAACTTCCCTCTATAACTGAAAGAGTTACACTATTCTTTGAGTTTTGAGTATTTCCCCTTCTTTGTTCTGCTTGATTATTTGTATGTGGAAAATATGCAGGTTTATTTGGAATGGGAAGTGTGATGCTTCGATTCTCCAACATGAACAAAATAGATGACATGAGTGGCCTATTATTGGGGTTGTCTTTCACACACAAGAGTCCGATATGGATGCAAAGCAAAGCCTCATCTGGTGTACAGCTCTCGACAATACTTGAGTCTACCAAATCATTTGCTCTCCCTTCCTTCAATAGATTCCATGCCTGCATAAATCAAATCAATAGTTAAGTGAGATTTGCCTTCAAAAAATAGTTAAGTGAGGTTGTGGGATTCTAAAAACTTTGATGTTTGTCATTTGCTAATTTATAAAACTATATATACTCACATAGATAGTAAGGTTTTCAAAATCCAATATTTGATTGGAAGAGCTTATCTTCTGACCACTTACAACCTCCAAAGTCAAGATACCGAAGCTGTACACGTCGGACTTGACAGAAAATATGCCCCTGAGTGCATATTCAGGAACCATGTAGCCGCTGTTGATGTTTTTACCATGAAGAGTTTTCTTTGTCTTAGCTTAACATTTATGCAAATTTTGATATAATAAAGAGCACTCACTATGTCCTGACGACCCGCTTCGTATTTTCATTATGTTGGTTGTCACCGAATGTCCTTGCCATGCCAAAGTCTGCTATTTTGGGTCTCATTTCTTCATCCAACAAAACATTGCTTGCTTTGAGATCTCTATGAATCACCTTTAGTCTAGAATCTTGATGAAGGTATAGACGTCCTCTGGCAACCCCTTTGATTATGTTAAAACGTGTTGGCCAATCTAGCACTGCTTTTCTTGTACTGCCTACAAAGAAAAACCATTTCTTACTAACTAGTTTATATGATTCATGAGCTTGTCATGAGTTATTAGAGCATACTGAAAATGTGAGCATCTAAACTGTTGGTAGGCATGTACTCAAAAATCAACAACTTTTCATCTCCCTCTATGCAGCAACCAAGAAATCTAACCAAATTTCTGTGTTGTAGCTTGGAAATTAGAATAACTTCATTTTTGAATTCCACTATCCCTTGCTCGGAACCCCTATGGAGCCTTTTGATGGCAATTTCTCGGCCATCTAACTTTGCCTAACAATTAAATTGGAAAATAGATTAAAATATTAATCTCATATAATCGCAATTGAGAAAAGGCGTAAACAAGAGAATATTAGATGATAATTCTTGACATCATCCTAATAATAATTAGATGGCATACGTACCTTGTAAACTTTGCCAAAACCTCCTTGTCCTATCATAAATGATTTGTGGAAGTTATTTGTCATACCTATGACATCTTTCAAACTAAGAACAGGAAATTCAAAGCCTTCATCAGCATTCATCTCTCCAAAGACTAAAGTCTTGTGCTTTTGTATTAGTTCAAAACATACTCCTCATATTCTTACATTTTTGCAGTGTGCATACTCACCATCTTTACCAGTCTTTTTTATCTAGTCGATTTATGGTCTGATATTTACCATACCCCTAGATTCGGTCAAACTTTAAAATATTATTACATTTTCATATAATTCGGTCAAACTTTAAAATATTTAACTTATCAAAAAACGATACGTACATTTATTTTGGGATGGAGGGAGTACTAAATAGTTCTAGACTTCAATAGTCTTGGTTCATGGAATACTGTTGCTGGTGCCTGAGTTTGAATCCCAAGACTAAACTTTAGCCCTGTCATATCAGATGTTCAGATGTCAATTAGAAGGACTAAACATAAGCTAATTATAAAACTAATTGTATAAGTTGTGGCTAATTCACGAGACAAATCTATTAAGTCTAATTAAGCATTGATTAGCACATGTTTAGTTTAGTATCACATGGGCTAATTATAGATTAATTAGGCTTAATTGATTCGCCTCGCGAATTAGTCTCCATATATAAAATCAGTTTTGCAATTTCCATATGTTTAATACTCCTAATTGGTATGCGTGTGTGCCAGATAAAATGAAACAGAGATAGTACTAATTAAAAAAAAGAATTAAATAGACTGTCTAGTTGAACTGTAACCATAAGAAATTTGGCAATGCAGTGTTGTAAATGTGAAAACCAGTTTGGAAAATGTATTGGAAAGCGTGTGAAAGATGTATTGGAAATAAAAAAAAGTAGAATAGAAAATGTTGCTGAGCGTTGGAGAAAATAACAAAAAAATAATTAGAAAATAGTTTGAAATATGTATTTACATAGTCAATACGAAAACGAAATAAATAAATGTATGTGAAATAAAAAGTTATTGTAAAAAGTGGAGAAAAGGGTGTTGACGGTGGGAGTTTGTGTACTCAGAGAGACGTGCGAATGATTAGTGAAAATTAATAAATGCCGTGTACAATATAAATTAAGAAAAATGGATAAAAGGAAAAAGCAAAGCCAGATGTAATTTCAAACTAATTAAGAAAAAAGAATTGAATAAACGGTGGGAGAACTGTTCAAAAAGTTTTGAGAAATCTAAAAAAATACAAATCCCAAACCGGTGAAAAGATAGAACAAACTTCAGGAGAGAGACGACGAGTGCGATCTGTATGAGAGAGAAGGAGAAAGATAAAGTTTGGAAAAGGCTAAAAAAATGCAAAATGAATAATCAATGAAAAGAAAAAAGCAAACTGCAGGGGGGAGAGCGCGTGAGTTTGCAAACTGAAGGAGAGAGAGGGAGAGATGAAGAGAGAGAGAGTGAGAGAAAGAGACTGCGCATGGTACTGGCAAACTGAAGGTTGTTCGCTCTAGGTTATCAGCCAGAATCAGCCAACTAGAAAACAGTGTTTTACTCTCACAACAAATCAGTTATACAAATCAGCTAGAGCCAAAATAAGTCCTGCCGAATAGAACCAGAACCAGGGAGAGATGGAGAGAGAGGGAGAGATGGAGAGAGAGCATGGCACAGCAGGAAAAGGTGGGAATGAATGGAGAGCCAGAGAGGCACGCGAATCTTGGAGCAGCTTGGACGTGCGAGATAGGGGATGTGGCCGCATACCGTTGCGGTATATACTTTCTGATTGTTCATGGGTAATGACCATATATACTTGTATGCACATTCCTTAGGACCTTGGACCTTCGACCTTGGATGGAGGTTGTCGGGGACCAATACTAGGGTACCCGAAGAGGAGAGGCTAACGACCGTTAAGCCTTAATTCCTTTAAGGGCGCAATTGCGGCTCTCACCGACCCCCAGGTACGTAGGTTCCACCTCGCCCGACCTCTGAGGGCTAGCTCCGCCTCGCCCGACATCTGAGGGCAGGCTCCGCCTCGCTCGACGTCTGAGGACGGGCTCCACCTCGCCCGACCTCTGAGGGCTGGCTCTGCCTCGCCCGATGTCCGAGGATGGACTCCGCCTCTCCTGATGTCAGAGGGCTGGCCCCGCCTCGCCCAACGTCTGAGGGCTAGCTTCGCCTCACCCGACGTCTGAGGGCTAGCTCCGCCTCGCCCGACCCCTCGAGCGTGGCTCCCAACGGGAGCCCATGCTGCCGCCAACCACTACAGGCCAGAAAGTACGACCCTAGGTCAAACTTTCTAGCCCATGCTGGGAGTGGTCATATCTCGACACGACCCGTTCCCGCGACATGTCATTCTAGGGAACTCGCATCGTCCACAGTGACGGGCGTAAGGTCATTGTGCTGCCTACTCCCTGTACGGCCGCTGATCCGCACGATGGTTCGCCGCGCCGCCCGCCAGGGCGGAGTGGGACATCACAACCCGCTGACAATGCCAGAGCATGGCGTCGTCGACGGACTGGCCTCCGGCATGGAGCCATCCCTATCACCGCCTGTAGTGTCGGAGGGACCCGCACGAAGGAAAAGAAAGGCCCGGCGACCATGAAAGACTTCCTCCCCCCTTTGGCTCTCCTCTCTTCATCCGCTGTAACCCGTGCTTTCCTTTGGCCTATAAAAGGGAAAGCACGGCACCCCATTAAGGGGATCGAATCCACGAGCATCGCAACACATCACGCTCGAACCTCGAACACATAGCTGAGCAGCGACCGAGCTCTCGGCACCCGTTCGCTCCACTCACCAGAGACTTGGGACCTGTCCCTCTCTCAACCATTTGTAACCCCTACTACGAACTTTCGGTGCTAGTAACACGAGCAGCAGCAACAAACTAGATGTAGGGACATTCTGCCCGAACCAGTATAAACCTCGTGTATTCTTAGAACACCATCCGAGCTAGACGCGCAATAATACAAATTTACTCGTTGGTGTTTACTCGAAACACCGACAGTTGGCGCGCCAGGTAATGGCCTTTTGAGCGTCTCGATATCAAAACCAGGCCTCGGATGGCTAGTCACGACATCAACTGGGTCCCGAGCGCACACGTGCGCTACGGGGACCTAGACTTCATCGTCATGGTGAAGGGAGAGCTGGCGAGGGCGCCCGTCATCGTTCAACCCGTCCACTCTGTCAACCTCGACGCGATCACCGAGGCGCTCGAGGAGCTGCGGCTGCACGCACCGGAGGCCCACACCCCCGGGAGCGGCCAGCCCCTCGACTTCGACTACAGGAGGGTGGAGCGTCAGCTCGGCGTCTTTCTAGGACCCCAACCGTCCTAGGAGGGTCTACGTCACCTCACCTTCTCGTTTGCCAGCATCATGGCACAGCTTACGGGGGAGAGTCGCTCTCCCCAGAATACCTCATCCAGAGCACCCTGATGGTGCTCTTGTTCGGTCTCCGCAACGCCGCAGAGACCATTGGCCACCTTGTGGCGCAACGCATGACTCCATCCCCGCGAACGACGAGTTCATGGGGGTGATCGAACATGATACGGAATCCTTCCACGACCTCCTCGTTGAGGAGCCAGGGTCGCCCTCTGGCTCTTACTCTAGCAGAGGGAGCCATCACCCCTCTCGTTAATGCTTCATGACAGGTACCCCCGAGGGACACGTCGAAAGCATCCACGAGGAGGAGGCTACCCCAACGAACGACCTCAATGACAAGGTCAAGGGGGATGCAGGAGCGCCACCCCGCCTACGGGTGGAGCAACTGAAGGCCCGACACCTAGAGCTCGAAGAATCGCAACTCTAGCTCGAGCAGAAATGCACGGAGCTCAATCATAAGATCGAACGCCATGGAGACGGGGGGCGCGCGCGTGCCATGGCCCGTGACATGAACCGAAGGATCATCGAAGACGATCAAGCCCTCCCACACTTCACCCGGGAAAGCCAGAACGTCACCGCTGTGACGCCCGAGGATCGACGGGCCTACGAAGATATTCGCACACTGCTTGAGTGTGCGGCTGCGCAGCAGGCCGAGAGCTCGCTATCTCGGTGATGTGAGCTCGACACTAGCCAATGCACTCCCTCAGCATGACCTGACCAGGAGGCATCCGTCCACCAAGCGCCGCAGGGTCGCTGGCCACGCATAATGGTTCTGGTGAGTGAGCACCTCGGCCGCAAACCGTGAGGCACACGACACCCTCGACGCCGCACCCGCGACGATGCAGGAGAGGGGGCTAGCCACGGCTACCACCCTCACCATGGTGGACGCTACGACAGCAGTGAGTACCGAAGCCCGAGCCCCGGCCTACCGGGACCTCAGGCCTTCGGCTGACATATCCTCAACGCCGCCTTCCCACCAAGGTACCGACCACCAACCAACATCCTGAAATACTCTAGGGAAACGAACCCCAGACTATGGCTCGAGGACTACCGACATGCGTGCCAAGCCGGTGGGGCGGATAATGACGATCTCATTATCCGCAACCTTCAATTGTTCCTAGCCGATTTGGCACGGACATGGTTGGAGCACCTTCCATCCGACAGAATCCGAAGTTGGGTGGATCTGAAGGAGATCTTCATGGGGAACTTCCAGGGCATGTACAAGCATCCTAGGAACCCCTGGGATCTCAAGAACTACTGGTAGAAGGCCAGAGAAACCCTTCGTGGGGACATCTGGTGCTTCTCCCGACAATGCAACGAGCTACCCAACGTTGTCGACGCCGACGTCATAGGGGCCTTCCTGTTTGGGACCACCTGTGAGTCCCTACTTCACAAGCTAGGGCGCAAGGGCCCACAAACCACCAAGGAGCTCCTTGACATCACCATCAGCCATGCCTCGGGCGAGGAGGCGGTCGAAGCGATCTTCAACCGCCTCAAGGGCAAGGCAAAGCAGGACGGGGACATTGGCGAAGGCGCCTCCACCCGTCCTACCAAAAAGAATAGCAAGCAGCGGCACGAGGGCTCGCTCATGGCCGTCGCCGATCACAAGGGGGGTTAGAAGCCCATAGAGGGTACCCCGAACCACTTCAAGAAGCTGCTCGAAGGGCCATGTCTGAACAATGCCTTCCCCATCAAGCACTTGTACAAGGACTGCGGCCTCATGAGGTGGTTCCTGTCTAGAGGCTCCAAC